CTGTCCAGACAGTAGTCCCTTCCCATAGTGTGCTTTAGAGGAAGCTGGGTATTTGGGTATTCAAAAGCATCCGCACAAGGACCTTAGCAAAACACCCATTTGTCACCTGCGAGAGTGGTGTCTACTGCTGTCTTTTGCAGCTCAGAACTGTTCCTTCACAAGACATGATTCTGTAACATCAGCATCACTACGGTCTGATTCAGTCTTCCAGTTACTATTATCCATACCCTCTTAGAATTTTTTCAAATATGTGAGCAGTCTCCCCAGAAAGATTAGTGGGTACCAAAAACATTTTCCTGGCCCCAGGCGGGTGGCTCTTGGGGCTGTCCTTGGACAATTGCTGCAAGGTCCTTGGAACTCGGCCTGTTTTTAGAAGATGTCACACCCTCCCCACCTCAGGCACCTTCTAGAGGCTGCCTCAGCCTAGCCACATTGTCTGGAAACTTCCACTGCCCCTGCCTGTCCCTTTTACCCCCCCTCTCTGCCTCTCTAGTCCCTGACACTACTATATGGCCTAATGTTTTCTCCCCTGTGATTCCCCCAGCCCTTCAGCCTGGGTCCTTCCCATTCCAAACCCATCTCTGTCCCTTGTCCAATTTATTCTTCATCATCCCCTCACTCACAGATTTCTGTAGCTCAAAAGCTCAAGGCAAAAGCTGCACGTCCCTCCCTTCCCCTGTCTAGTCATTCAGCTCCCTTGGGCTATATTTAGCACAGCTGTGCCTTAGATTGTGTAGCGCTTCAAGTCCCAGTCCCCCCTCCCCTCTCCTTCTCCCTCAACGCAATAGGAAGCCTGAAGCTCCCAGTCAGGATAGGGAAGCCCAGCTAGAGGCAGTGGCAGCGGGGAGTTGTAGAGGGACAAGAAAGGGTGTGCTGCATCGCGGACCACCCAGAACACGGTGACCTTCCCATCTGTTGTCAGGGACTTTCCACTTCTCCCCCAGCCTGCTAGCTATTCCCTGCCACTTGCTCATTCTGGAGAAAGAGGCGCAGGCAATGTGCTGGGGAATTCTAACGATCATCTTATTTAACTCTTACAGTGATCTTTTTTTTGTCAATCCTCACCTGAGGATATTTTTCCACTGATTTTTCCAAGAGTGGAAGGAAGGGATGGGGGGAGAGAGAGAGAGAGAGAGAGAGAGAGAGAGAGAGAGAAAGAGAGAGAAACATCAACCTGACCAGGGCCAGGGATCAAACCTGCAGCCCAGGTTTGTGCCCTTGACAGGGAATTGAACCTGTGACCCTTTGGTGCAAAGGCCAACACTCTAACCACTGAGCTATACCGGCCAGGGTGCCCTTACAATGATCTTATGGGTACCTGCTCAGTCTCCATTTTACAGATGATATAGACTCAAAGAGATTGAGCAGCAGAAGACTAAGTATTTAAGTATTTAGGGGGTGGTTGGGCCTTATTCGGTGTGGCCCAGTTGGCTGGGTGTTGTCTCATGCACTGAAAGATTATTGGTTCTGTTCCGGTCAGGGCACATGCCTGTGTTGCAGGATCTCTGGTAGGGGGTATGCAAGAGGCAGCTGAGTGATGTTTTGCTCTCATATCCATGTTTTTCTTTCTCTCTCCCTCTCTAAAAGTGAGAGGGTGGTTGGTGAAGCAACTAACTAACCCCAGGTCTAACTCCAGCCTACACTCTGGATCCCCTAAGTCCGTCAGCATCACTCATTTAGAGCCCTGTAAATTAGAATTTCTATTAGTGTGACCTGATCTGGAAGAAAGAAGTTTACTAAGCAAATTACTAATGTAGAAAAGCCAAAACCAAAATAATTAGTAAAGACTTGGCATATTAACAAAAATGTTATCATAATTTTATCTTATCTGTTTACTAAAGCAGGACTCTCCAGAAATCTGTTCCCTAAATATTTCTGTGTGTTCTCAGAGGTCTTTGAAAATAAAAAGCCATTTTATTTCTTCTATTTCAGGACTTCCCCTCCACTTTACAGTCATTCTTCCATTAGTCCAAAGTAGTGAGATTTGATTTTAGGAATGGTGAGAAGTCTGGGCCTTTTTCTCTCTGTCACTTACTGTGACGTTGGGCAAGACATTTAATCCTAGCCTGTTTTTAAATGTGAAATGGGAAGAATAATAGTAATAGTACTTCATAGTTTTTGTAAGGATTAAATAAAATAATCTACTTAATGCATTTAGCATATTTTTGGCTCCCAGGTGCTCAGTAAATCATAGCAACAATTATTATTTTCTCAGTTCTGGGCTGGGATATTGTGGAGCATCAAACATGATCTCAACAGGGAGAAGTTGAACTTCACTCTCTAGAGCTTAGTCCCAGTCTCTAAAGGGCATGGAGTTGATCTTGATTCTTGCCATCTTATCCAGACATTTCCACCCCCCACCTCTGGACTAGATCATCCGTCTCCTGAGAATTCAGGCCACTGTTGGGACCAGGAGAGGCAGCATGGGAGAGTGTGTGTGAATGACTGAGAGGAGCTTTCCCATGGACGCTGGGGATATGTGAAGGCCCTGGGGAGTTGCTGTGACCCTGGATCTCTTCCTAGAGCAGTGAGTGCTGGGGAGAGAAAAGAGAGACATCAGCTGCTGGACAAATTTCCAGTGCCGAAAAGCCCCTTAGGGCAGACACATGGGACTGAGAGTAATCTAGGGAAGGAACAAAGGCATGGGATGGAGTGGAACTGCCCAGGCTGCATCCCAATCTTTCTCCATTTGCTTAGCCAGAAGATGCTTTTCTTTTCCTAATCAAGGGTGGCATGATCAATTAGCATTCCGAAGCTTCAATATCAATCCAGAGAGGGTTTCAGCTTGACCAGCCTCCTGGAAAGCAGGTTAGCAGTACAAATTTTGGAGCCAGCCAGGCCTGGGTTCAGATCACAACACTGCCATTTACTAGTTGAACAAATCATTTAACCTCTGGGAAACTCAGTTTCCTTGTCTATAAACAAATTGCTACTTACCATATAAAATAGTTGAGAGCTTTGCGATGTAAATACTTAGAAGAGGCACTAATGCTGGTCACTGTCATCTCTGTAACTCCCCTAGGCAGTATAAAGAGCTCTGAAGATGTGAGGGAAGTCCCAGTTATTTCAAACTTAACGAATCTCCTTGGTCCAGAAAGCATCGTTGAAGGTATCAAAACCAAGACCAGAGAGCCTGCTTCCCACAATCTGAGCATTTTATTTACATCCCACATTGTTCATGAGAGTATTCGAGGCATTATAACTCAGAGGAGAAGCCAGGATCTCTGTCCATCCTTGATCTGCTCTCCATATCAAGTCCATCTTTGACCCAGCCACTTACATCCATGAGAATTAAAAGATTAAATCTAGCTAAGGGCCTTTTTCCATTTAGCCTTTCATTACTCTCCAGTGCCTTGGAGTCCAGCCTGAAACTCAGCAGATGGGGGGTTAAGACTGATGCCCTGTCCTATCCCCTCCCCTCTCTGTTCCTGACTTTAAAGTCTCCATAAAGCCTGCCACTGCTTCTCTGACCCCACAGTGGTAGCTTTGTCATCAGCTCTTGGCCAGTTCAAAACAGACGCTGTGCCCTGGCCCAGCTGCTCACAGCCCACTTTCTGGTCGTCTCCTGTGGTAAGCATCAGCATGCTGAGGACCTGTGGGGCCAAAAGGTCTTGCTCCTCCAGGAGAGGAGGGCAAGTAGGTATAGAAGTTGCCTCAGACAGGGAGTTTATTTCAGGGTTAGACTTAGGAGGCCCACAGGCAGAACCCCTGGTTTAAGGACCAGGACTCTGGAACTCCGTCTAGTTTGTGATCAGAGCAGACATTTATAGGGGTTAGCAAGTAGAATAGGGGTCACCAACCCAGGGATGGAGGCAGGGGGTTGGTATTTGCAAAGAACCTGGAAAAAGATGGACCTGAAAGTGGGAACAGCTCAGGAATCAGAATTTGTTCTTAGTATTAATGTCTGAAGTGTACACAAATCCGTGTACAATTATTTCAATCTCTGGTTCTGGTGATTGGGTAATCATGCTGTAACATTGCCTGGGATGGCTCTGGTTCCCTGAGGCCAGATCCTGCTCTGTAGCTCCCTTAGGAGTAACTGTCACAAACTCAAGGCCAGT